CTGTTGCCTTCTAAGGTCAACCGTTTCCACTAATGGCTTGATCACCCCTGTTACCGCTAAACGAAGCGCTTTCGCGTTTCTATTTCCGCTTTCTCTCTGTCTATCTTGCCTTTAAATTTTTCTTTGCCTTCATCTTCACTTTCTTCACCTTTAAAACCGAAACTTTCCAATTTTTATTAGTCTCATTTTCTACCTACGTTTCAGCCAGCTTGTCTTATTTTACCCCCTTTATTCACCTCTGTTTGTGACTGCTGTGTGACAATAAACTTTTGTTAAAACAAGACTTCCCATGAATTCAGAAAAACACGGCAGCTAATTAAAAAAACGGGTCCAGCTACGACTAGGGTTTAATAAATGTAAAGCGGACACCTGTTATTGCAGAAATCTGTAGAATTTTGAACCATTTTTGCACAATGACGCTTAATTTGTAGCTTAGTACGGAAAGCAAAATTAGCGGGAGCGGCACTGAAATTTATCGGCAACTGAAAGTTTCAATAAAGTAAAAACTGAACAGGTATATAGTTTTGCTCTTGTAATCGAACAAGTATAAAATACTTTTTATTGTTGTTTATGTAGTTCCGGTTGCATTGGGATAAACAACAAACAGGGTATGAGCTTACTAGGGGTTCGGCGAGACGGGGTGTTTACCACTACTGCAACAAGTGGCACGCAGCTGTTGGCGGTCTGTTGATGGATACGCGGTAGATCGACACTTGCAGATTGCTTCCGTTGGCTACCAAGCAAGTTAGCTCGGCCTCTTCCTAGCCACCACTTTTATTTTTTCTAATATTTCTACATTGCTATCGATTTTTCGCTTCAATAAGAGATTGCTGTTCTTTTGGGGGCTGAGCTGTTAGCTGGACGGGGGCATTTTTAGCAGGGAGAGACCAAATTGTTCCAGTCCAATTTTTAGAATCAATTTCAATTTCTCTACGGCCCTATAACCAATATATTTATGAAATTTTTTCCTTTTCCTAAACATAAAAACCATCAAAAAATATTTAAAAAAGTGTGGCAAATTGGTGACTTTTTGGAAAATGGCCAGAAAAACACAAAAATTTTCGAATTTGCAAAATATAGTTTATGACTTTCTAGCAAGCAAAAAATGCTTTATATATCAATCAGCTGGAAGCAGCAAAAGCAAAAAGTAGTCCCCCCGCTAACAGCCCAGAACCGGCTTTAGCAGTACTGTTTACCGAAAGCCTTTTCGATTGCCTTTCTAGCTTTCTTATTTTCGAAACTGGTCCAGACGTTTTCGTAAAGCCTGGGCCCCTCTTTCGGGCGGCCATTTCTTCGCGTAAGCACTTCTCTTTCAGGAATTTCTCTTTGCCTCATGAAAATACTATTGGCTGGGCAAGCCGCTGTGAAGATTCAAAGTTCACACTTTCTCTCTCTCCCTCTCTCTCTCTCTCTCTCTCTCTCTCTCTCTCTCTCTCTTTCCTTCCCCCCTCTCTCTCTCTCGTTCACTCTTTCTCTTTCTTTGTCTCTATATCGCTGACTCTCTCTCTGTCTCTCTCTCTCTCTCTCTCTCTCTCTCTCTTTCTCTCGCTATCGCTCTCTATCACTCGCGCTATCTCTCGCGCTCTCTCTCGTTCTCTCTCTCCTGAATGAACTACAAATTTTTGACCTTTTTCAGTGATCCTCGTTATGGATCTCATGGCCCTGCCCTACAGCTTCCAGAAGAACCTGGTCAAATGCATCTCCAACCTCGACGTTGTCAGCCAAGTGCGATTCTCCCGCACCTGTCGTCAGTTCTCGGAGATGACCAAGAGGCTGGCGGACAGCCACAAGGGCTTCGACTTCATCCTCGATGGGAGTAACTGTGACCCGATGCTGATCCGGGATCGCGAAGCGCTGTCGGGCACGGAAAATATGCTGCCAGCCCGGTTTTCCAACGCCCCCATCTTCCAATACTTGCCCAAGAACTCGCGAATGATCCTCTCCGGGTACTTCCACGGGCCCGACGAGATATTCACTCGAGAGATTCAGCAGCAGCTCCAATTCAACAACCGCAATGCGACAAAATTCTCGCATGCCGAAATCGACGATGGCACCAAGATTACCCCGGAATTGGTCAGCTTCATTAACACCTACGTCGAATGGGTCATTTGCCCAAGTACCCATCCGGAAACGATGCTCGCGTTTCGGATGTCAAAAATGCGCTATCGATTCCAGGAACCGGAAGATAACGAAAAAATTGAACCCTTCATCGAGATGCTCATATCTGAATGGAAAGCTGGAAGACGTGAGATCAAATATATCGACGTCAATATCCAAAAAGGGCCAGATGACCCCTTTGCAAACGTGGATCGAGACCCGGCTGAAGAAAACAAATGGGAAATTGAACACGTTCGCGATGATGGGATGAAGATTGTGCAAAGCTGCAGCTGGGGGACCCACCATACACTTGATGTCCCCGGACCCCCAATGTCGGAAGAGCAGCGCCGTCTCGCTGCCGAACGGGCTATGATTTATATGTTTGGAGGGCGATTCGAAGAGTGATTGTGTTTATTAAACGTCTAGTTGCTCTCTCTCTCTCTCTCGTTCTCCCTCTCTCTCTCTCTCTCTCTCTCTCTCTCTCTCTCTCTCTCTCTTTCTCCCGGTCTCTGTTGCTCGCGCATTCTTTTGCTTTCTTTCGCCTTCTGTCTCTCGTTCTATCCCAGTTCTCTCTTTACCTCACTGATTTTACCTCAAAACCTAGACACTATTTACGTCATTTCCAACTTTATCGCTTTGTTTACTTTGTGCCATCCATATTGTCCATTGTCGTGTGACAATAAAAGTTAACAAACCCACAAAACTAAAATTCAAAAAGCATCAGAATATGGTACAGACAGGGCCGGTACCATACGGCTTACTACCCCCTAGTAAACTCTTACTACCCCTAGTAAACTTTTCACTACCCCGGTAAACGCACTAGTAAACGAGTTTACCAGGGGTAGTAACAGGGCAAAGAGCTAATTTATGGCGACTTCTTCAACTGGGCCCAACGCGTCTAAAAGGGTGTTAAAAGATGCGGGAATCACTCAAAACCGATAGTTGGGCCTTCAAGCTAGCGATTCAGTAAAAAAATCGCTCAAGAAACACTTAAAAATTGATCGAACAAGGCGTTAGAAAGGTTACGACCACCGAATAAAAAGTTTACTACCCCAGTAAACTTTTCTTACTACCCCAGTAAACTTTTTACTGCCCCAGTAAACAAAGTTACTAGTAGTAAAAGATTTTTTACTAGGGGTAGTGTGCCACTTTTTGGTTACTAGGGGTAGTAACCGCTTTTTTAAGTTAGGGTATAACTTTAAAAACACTCAATTCCACTAACATTTTTTGACATCACGGCCTAGTTCAGCTACTCGGCAATCTATTTCGACCAAAGAAATGAGGAAAAGTCTTGGGTGCCGCGTCAAATCCTATCGCGAATCGTTTACTACCCCAGTAAACTTTTTTACTCTACTGCTTTTGGGAGTAAACTTTTTTACCACCCCGTCGAAAATTCATTGAATTTGAGTCAATGAGAAAAGTACGTCACTTTTCATAAAAGGTGTGGTCATGGCCAATGGTATAAGAACGCTTCATTGATTTTTTTGCGATTATTTTTGAAGAATCGAAACTTTCAAAAAATTGGATTTTGACACTTTCATAGTTTCTCAAAGGTTTTTATGGTTTTCCGACTATTTTGCAAAATGGTTTGGTGATAATTCGGGGGAATTGGTCATGCTAGCGGAGCTCTTAGAAGCGACCAAACTATTAAAAATTCGAATTGTTTGTTTCCACAATATCTTTGATTCTTTTTAAAGTTCTTGGGCCGAAATGCTTTGATGGTAAGGTTTTCCTAGTTATAAGAGTTCACAGGCAACGGACCTGACGTGGGGTTATAAATCGACACGTTCACTAGGGGTAGTGAACTAGTTTACTACCCCCTAGTAATGGGAAGTCACAGGAAATGACACCTTATCGGGAGCCAACAACATCATACCAACACAAAATAATATATGAATAAGAAAGCAAGCTATTCTTGCCCCGTCTGCGCTAGGAAAGCCGTTAGACTAACTGTAACATGGTCTGAATCTGGGGGGTAGTAAACTTGTTCACTACCCCTAGTAAAAAGTTCACTGGGGGTAGTAAGAAGTTTACTAGGGGTAGTAAACTTTTTGAGTTTACTAGGGGTAGTAAGCCCGTATGGTACCGGCCCAGATACAAAACCTTCCATTTCACGCTCTCACGCGCGCGCTCTCTCTCTTCTCTCTCTCTTTTTCTCTCTCTCTCCCTCTCTCCCTCTCTCACTTTCTCTTTCTCATCCTCTCTCTCTTTAACAACTCTCGCTCCTCACGCTTGTTCTCCTTCTCTGTTCGCTCTCTCTATCTCTCTATCGTTCTCTCTTTCACCTTGCTCCCGACCCTATTTTTCTGCTTCACAAAACCATTGATTTCATAGATGTTTATTCAATATTTTTTGAAATCTGAAATCTACACACGAAAATCATCAAAAATCGTTTGAAAAATGCACAAACCCTACAATGCGTCGAACTTTTAATGAGCAAGTAAACAACATCAAATCCGGTAATAAATACGGCACAATTCTGCGGAAAGAAATTCGAAAAATGATTTCGCTTCAAGAAATGGTAAAAAATATCCACCCGGCGGAGATCGTTTTTGGGGGGTTTTGTTTTGGCGGGAAAAGCATTGGACAAATTATGCAAATTAGCTTGAAAACATTTGTATAGAATTTCCTAAAAGTCACAGAGAGCGAAAGAATACAAATGGCAAACAGACGAATCAGGGGACAGCGCTACCCACACACGGAAAAATATATCAAAATTCGATGAGCAAAATAGAAGACCAAAAAGGTTTATCATGCACGAGAAAAACAAGAAAAACAATGATAGTTTAAAGGATACCGTACCCGATTGCAAATGTATTATGTGTTTTTAGGAATCGATAAGAAAGACGAGAGAGCGAAAGAGAGCGAGAGAGAACGAGAGAAACAGATAAAATCTATGGTTATAAAAGATCTTTGAAGCTGTTCCGCGCGTCTTCTTCGTCGAGGTTGACGCTGCTGGAAAAGCTTGATTAATTCCAAATATCAAAGCTCTTTTTAAAAAATTAAACTAGCGGAGATTTCAATTAGAAAAATGCTTCAAAAAATTTAAAAAATTGCCAAAATTGACCCCTTTAAATGGCTAGATCTCGACAACTACGCGCCGCGCCAAAATACGCTCAAAAAGCAGCCGAATTTTGGTCCAAACGACTTGCCGAGGCTACTTATCAAAATACACCGAACGTATTTTGTAGTCTCGCGTAGCTGTCGAGACCTAGTCTATCGCAGGGTCGATCTTCCGACTTCTCAATCCTTTGAAAAACTCACTGTGTCTCATCAATCTGATCATCCCCCTCCGCTTCCATAAGGCTCTCATACTCCTCGGCGCAGTACCGCTCCCACTCGGTCAACTCGCGGCCCTCATCGTTTCGGACGACAGGTCTGAAAAATGGAGCCGTCAAAAAATCAGAAATTAAGAAAAAATGCTGACAAACCAAAATGGAAAACGAAAATCCCGACAGTTCCAAATTTCGCCAGCAAAAATGCCGATCCGCCTCAAAACTGAGCGAAATTCGCGAATTCGGTAAGAGCACGCGGGGTATCATTTTGGTACTTTTGCTGTCGGGGTTTTGATTGTCGGTATTTCGAAATTCTGTCGTCTGAGAATTAGTTGAAGTTAAAACTCACTTCTCGCCCTCATTGATCTCCTGGCTGAAGAACTTGCGCCAATTCGTGAAACTGTTGATGAAGCGATAGGTCAGGGGGCACTTCTTGAGGTCGGACAGGGTGAAGCCGTTCGGGTTCTTCGGGCGGATCATGTCGAGCAACTAAAAATATATTGTTTAGAACAATCGATCTCTGACTCTCTCGCCCCTCTTGCTCTCTCTCTCACCAGCCCTCTCACTTTCCAACTCACATTGCACGCGACATCCCCAAACTGCATGGTGTCAATCTTGTTGAGGGTGAGCTTGTCGCGGACTTGACCGTACATCTCCTCCATCTCGTACAGCGTCACCAAGCCGTCGCCATCAAGGTCACAGATGCGGAACCAGTACTCGACACTAAAAATGAATGTATAAAATCAGCTTCCTCTTCTCTCTCTCTCTCTCTCTCTCTCTCTCTCTCGCTCTCCCTCTCGATCGCTCTCTTTTTCTCTATCTCTCATTCTCTCTCGCTCACTCTCGCTTACCTCGTGGGGTTCTTCTTGTCCTCATCCGCCATCAAGAAAGCGGCGAATTCGGGCAGTCCAATAAATTCCACGAGGTGCTCGTTGCGGGACCCTCGTACTACAGCTTTTGAGAACATCCGGTTGACGACGAGTGGGGTGAGGGCTGAAAACAAATTGTTTAGTATCTCTTTCTCTCTCTCTCTCTCTCTCTCTCTCTCTGTCTCTCTCTCCCACTCTCTCACTCGCTCTCTCTATTACTGTCTATAGCTCACCTCCTTCATCGTGGGCCAACATATCACGCTTGGAGATGAGCATATCATGGTCGTCGTCAAGCTCCCAGAATTTGCAGTAGATGACGTAGAAGTGCTCATATCTGGAAAACAATCGGTTTTGAAAAGATTGTAACATCAGGTCGACAAAGTAACAAAGTTTAAGGGTATCAAAAACTCACGAGAAGTACTTGGTCTCCTTGTTGATGTCGTCCTCCTTTTCCAAGAATCGGAGCTGAGCTAGGAGATCATTCTTTCGAAGCTCCTGAGCCGTTATCCGCCCTGTCCACGATCGATTTGCGCTCCAGAAGATGCGGGTGGTCACCTGAAAATGGAAATTCAGAATCAAGCACAAGTGCAAGCAGTTCGGATCCTAATACCTGGTAAGCTTTAACTTACCACATCAACATACGAGGGGTGGAACTCGGTGGCAGAGTGGTAGAACGCGAGCCCCGGATGCGTGTAGATGACGTCGTAGCAGAGGCTCTGGAAGTCTTCGCGTTCCAGGTAGTCCTTCTTGCCGCCGGAGAGGGCGTAGATGAACCGGGCGGCCTCGTCGTTGGCCACGGAGGTCATGTTGCGCCACCAGATGCAGAACTCGGTTTGGGTGACATCGACGTTCTGAAGAGGTACGGATTGGGTCATTCGTTCGTCAGCGAGAGGGAGAGAGAGAGAAAGAGGGAAAGAGAGATGGAGAGAGAGAGAGAGAGAGAGATAGAGAGAGAGAGAGTGAGGGATAGCCGATACCCACCTTCTTGTTGGTGATGGCGTCGTAGATGGGGCGTTTCCAATAAAGGGGCAGACCGACGGCTTTTATCACCTAAAAAGTAATGTTGTTTTAAGGTATTTTACGTATCGATGAACGGTTTTAAAAGTAGCTTAAAACAAGAAGATGGCACGCGAGGATATTTGGAACTTTTGAAGCTCGCCAGAGATTTTCAATTATTCTTGTTAATGAACTGACCGTCTCGAACTCGTTGACGGACGCCTTCTGCCCGGGCAACTTCCTGAACACGTCCAGCGCCTTCCGCATCGCGACATCATTCTCGTGCTGGGACACGGGCTTCCCCTGCGGGAAGTGGAACTTCGGGACCGGGACTCGAGCGGCACCAGGTTGTTGTTGCTGCTGTTTCCGCAGGCCGCGCGGCGTCAACACCTTCGAGTCGGCCGGCTGAAATAATAATCGGTTTACCTGAAGTAATAAATTTGGATAAATTTGCATCCGGTAAATTTTAATTTGCTAAAATTTGTATCCCCATCAAAGTCGTCAACCCAATTACCTTCCTCCTAATGACTAGGCTACTAGCCGAAACGCGGTGCATTTTTGGGAATGACAAAGAATTTCTTGTAAACCGAACTTCGAACTTTGCATTACGATATGTAAATCAAACGCATGAATTCTAAAAAATGCAAATGAAAATTAGTTAGATTTATTCTGCGTCCGACTCCGTGCCATTTTCTGCGACGAGACACTCAACCCGATGCCAGGTTTTCGTTACGTAAAGCCTCAAGAGCGTATGGGTGCTGCGAAAA